AACCCCTTCTACTCACAGGAATCGTTGAATAAGCACATGGAATACTGTTATTCAAACGAGACCGTCAAGATAGAGATGCCAGAAGAGGGCTCGACCATTTCGTTTGGGCACATACACAAGTCCATGAGAGTGCCGTTCACAGTGTATGCTGACTTTGAATCTTTCATCAAACCAGTAGATACGTGTGAAGCGTGTCCGGGAAAGAGCTACACGAAGAAATACCAGAAATACACCCCCATCGAGCTTTTGTTACTACATCAAATGCTTTGATGATGGTGTCTTCTCTAAAGATCCGGTTACCTACACCGTGAAAACTGACGACGAAGATGTCTCCCAAATATTCGTAGAAATGTTGGAGAAAGACATCAAAGAAATTGGCAAAATTCCGGCGAAACCAATGATTTTTGGGGAAAATGACCGCAAACAATTCCAAAAGGCGACAAAGTGCTGGATCTGCCAAGGTGAGTTCAGTAAGGATGACAAGAAGGTGAGAGATCACTGTCACTTTACTGGGAAATACCGAGGTGCAGCTCACAATAGTTGTAACTTGCAGTACAAGAAGCCGAAGTTCACTCCCGTGGTGTTCCACAAACTTTTTTTTTGTTTCTAAAGATAATATATCTTTTTATCTCGATTTTCATCTCGATTTTCATCTCACTTTTCATCTCGATTATTTTTCTCGAACAACTTGCAGAAGGACTCGCGGGTTTCCTGCCTTCGCTGTTCGATCAGGGATTGCTGTAGGTCGTAGTCCATATGCTTCTTGGAAATCTTTCTTATTTCTTCCTTCATCTCGCGGTACTTGACCAACTCTGCTAGTATGAGTTGATATTCCTGATCACTTACTGCATTATCGGCTAGCGCCTTCGAAATGTACGACGATATCGTGTTCAGTTTTGCTTGTGCCAAAACCTTGATCTTTTCGTGCTTTTCGGCTTTGGCCGCACACTTCCTATTCACATATTTTCCGACGATACTCAGAGCTCCGGTAGCAAGCGCAACGCCCTCCATCACGACAACAATCGGTGCTGCTACTACCGTAGATAAAAGGCTAACACCACCGATGCCAAGCCCCATGGTGACGCCGATAAGACCAACATCGACATTACCCACTATCTTCACGGCTCTGTGGTACTTCTTGCTGAGGGTCTCACGCTTTTCTCTTTCTTCCTCGAGAATCCTCTGAATCTCGTTAATTTTCTGTAAACGATAACCTTGTCCCTCATCTTCAGGGGGAGCTGTTGGCAACTTTGGATAAAGCGGCGTATCATTATTCACTTTGTTGATTTCCATATTTTTATATGTTTGAGATTTTGCTTTTATGTCATATAATGTATGAGACATAGAGGCTCGTTTTCCTCAATGACAACAACCCCGTTCGAATTGTTCGCGATGTTTATCACCACATCATCAACACTTTCGAGAACGGCTTCATTTTGTATACTGCATTGCCTCATTTTAAGGCTTTGCTTTAGTGTCGTTAAAACCATACAACTAGTCATCCTCAATCCAAACCTTAATCTAATCGTTTTATTTTCTTTTGGTCCGATGGTAAGTTTATTTTGATTGAAAATTTCCCACGTTACTGGTTGCACCTTCTGTGGAGGATGTTTTACATCCATTACCGGTATCCAGTAAATCGTCTTCGGCTGTCTTGGCGAGTTATACCAATTTTTCGGTTTTTCACCAAATTTGTGAACAGGCATTCTTTTTTTAATATATATATATATTTTTTGATATATATATATATATATATATATGTTCATGACCATGTATGCATGAAACACTCATAATATTGCACCGAGGATCGGAATGTTGTTGAATGGGCTGTTAGGTCCCAGGATAAGACCCTTCCCATTATACCATCTCCTTTCGTTATTTATATAAAGTCCATCACCAACGGCTCCTAGACCCGAACCGGTCGCGGGTCCTAAATAAAGTCCTTTTCCGTCTGTCTCTATCTGGCAAACACAACCTCCTTTCTTGAGATACAACCCGTTCCCAACCACCTTTTGCACTCCCGAACTAGCCAAACCAGAAAGAGCGCCAATGCCTAATGCTGGAAGTACCGTCTTTGCCAAAACAGGCAATGCACGCGCTGCCAAACCAGCAAGCATCCCAAGGAAACCGCCCTCAACTTTCATATTGTGTTTGAGTTGAGCTTTACTCATTTTGATGGTTATTCCTTTACCACCTTCGTAGGCTTTGGCTAATCTCTTCACTTGTCTGTCTGTCAGTACTAAGACATCTTCACCGTTCAAATCTTCGTGACCAAAACGGACACTGACAGTACAACCGTTTTGAAGGGCCTCTCGTAATTTTTGTTTCTGCCCTTCTGAAACATTCAATTTAACATTTGTGTATCGTGACATTTTATATATACGAATATTTTCTTTTATACTTGTCTGATGTGAAACCTCAATGATAAATTATCTCCTCTTAAATTTAGCAGCGTGCCATTTTGGTCGGTGAGTGAAGTCTCCAGACTGTGTATGGTGTCTAGTGTCACGGGAAGATACACCAAATTTCGTGGTGTTTCAACTATTTTATGTCCAGGGGTGACATTTGGAAAGAAGGAGTATATCGTGTGTTGTGAAGCTCCATTAACGTAGCTCCCTGAGATATTGTCAACATTAACATGCAAGCTGACAATACTAAGAATGTTGACGACATTTTCAGACTCCTGAAATCCTAGTGCGTAAATGTCGTGGTTAACTCCTAATACACTGGAAATGGAGTTGGGATGCCTAAAGTCTACTTGGTAATTATTATCTAAAATAAGGACAGTCTTTAGTGTGTTCGTGTTTGCAGAAATTGTAACGTAATATTCCTCATTGACATTGCCATAGTGTTCGTTCTGCCTCATCTTTTGTTGAATTGTGTCGTTAATGTCATCGATGTTATAGATACCTTCTGGTAAATAAATTTCGAACCACGTTGTTCCGCCATCGGGCGAGTATCTAAAATAATTATTACTCGCATCAATGTTAGGAAAAGAGTAGTAAGTCTCGAGATTGACGAGTGCCTATAACGGACGTACAAAACAGTACGGCAGAAGACATAAGGTCTGATATTAGACCCATCAAAGAAAGCATATCGGAATTGAAGAAAATCACATTTCCAGCGTTTCCATCTATAAAGGGGTTTCAACAACAAGAAAAGGAAGATACTGATACGCAGTTTATCGGACCAATCGCGCAAGAATATTTAAGGAAGTTCGCTTTCAAATCCGAGGCTGATAGAACGTACGGGCTATACGATAAGAACGGCAATTTTTATATAGGCAATAAGACCGTCGCCTTTGTAGATGATAACATAGTAGTGGATGGTGAAGAGTACCGAGGAACACCGGGATTGTGGGAACTCATCGTAACCAAGAATCCAGACGATCAAATATACACCGACCAGGACTACGAAAATTAAGATGATGATTGAATCGAACGCTCTCAAAAAAGGCAACGATCCAGAGAGTAACAGACCAAAGGCCAGCAAGGGGTTGAAATGGAAGAATGTGGTTAGAACCATTTGGACTAACAGGGATTATTACGAAGGGAGCGGCACATCTGTTGTCATTCCTAGCGATCCTAATGCATTGCTCGAAAGACTAGACTTGCTGATGGCAAGCAAGGCAGCGGGTAACACAGGCGTGGCGGTGCTGGAATGTTTGATAGCATCGCAAGTTTTTTCACTAGATTATTTACTAGCAATGCTGCGAAATAGATTGCCTCTACCGCTCTAGATGCTGGTAAAAGCGTTGCTAAGGAAGTTGGGAAGAAAGCTATGGATGCTGGAAAGACTGCAGCTCTTGATGCTGGAAAGAAGTTCCTTGAGAAAGGAGTGCGCGGTCTCGCACGTAAAGCTCTTACACCCAAATCTCGAGCAATTCTACAAAAGCATGCTGGTACACCGGTGAAGCAGTCATCCCCAGTTGATCAGAATATCCATTCACTAATAGATGGGAGCGGAATGCAGAAACAGAGGGTGATTGCGATTCAAGACCTCGTCAAAAGATTGAATCAAGGATCTGGTCTAAAATTGACTTAAAGAAAAATGAAATCTATAATAAAAAAATGGCTATCGAATTCAAGCGTCATGATTACCAAACACGCGATTCATGTATTTTTGTCAAGAATGCAAGGATCAGCCTTGAAGGGTGTGAATTCCTTGAAACTGAAGATGTAAATGGGCATCATAGAGGTGTTGTCTTGAAACTACCCGAAGAGAAGGTAGGCAAGATGAAGGAGATTGAGGGAGAGGTTAATGATTATCTTTATAACGGTGGTTTAGGCAAGATAAAGCTTGTCTACGAAAACAAAAACACCTTGATAGTATTGTGTTGTCGGACGTGTATGTTAATAATGCTGGCAGGGCGCTCGCCCATTTGTGGGTTCTGTAATTTTTTTTATATCTGTAAAATGATATAAAAACAATTTCTCTTGCTAATAAAAAAATAAAATATGATGAACATTCTAAATTTTACTGAGGCTCCCATGAAGGATGAGAGCATCGAAGAATACGAACACCATGAGTACGATCCGATTACCGGTACGAATCTCAATAACCCAGGTGAGCTCAGGATCAATATTGAAACACAAGATCTGTTTACTCACCCAAGCGAGAGCTATCTGATCATCGAAGGGCGTCTGACAAAAACTGACGGGACCGCTTACGCAAACGATGATAACGTTACACTGACGAATAATGCTCTCATGTATCTTTTCAGCAACATCAAGTACCAGCTTTCAGGACAGGAGATTGAATCTCTCTTTCATCCAGGACAGGGTACAACGATGCTTGGTCTGTTGAAATATCCAGATGACTTCTCCAAGTAGCAGGGTTTGAATCAATTGTGGTACAAGGACACATCAGCTGCAGCATCTGCAGCTGCAGCAGCAGGCAATGCCGGATTTAGCGTTCGCCAATACTATATAATCAAATCTCCTAATCCACTCAAGCACATCTTTGGATTTTGCGAAGACTATGACAAAATTGTGTATGATATGAAACAAACCCTGACTCTGGTGCGGAAAACGGACAACGATGCGATCTTCAGGAATGCAAATGTTGATGATGGGAAAATTATCCTCGAAAAGGTGTCGTGGTTTATGCCTCATGTACTACCCGCAGATGCTGAAAAATTTCAGCTTTACAAGACACTCGATTCAAATGCGCTTCTACCCGTAATGTACAGGATCAAGCAATGTGATTCCATCTCCGTACCACAGTCAACTAGCTTCACCTGGAGACTATCTGTCAAATCAGCGCCTGAAAGACCGCGCTATGTCATTGTCGGTTTCCAAACTGACAAAGACGGTGACCAAGAGCAGAATCCTTCCATCTTTGACAACGTCAATGTGAGGAATATATTTGTCATGCTAGACTCGGCTAGATACCCCGCAGTTGCCTACAACCTCTCCCTTCCCAAACAGCAATTCAGTCGGGCGTACGGTGATGCAGCAGCCTTCAGGTCCAAGTTTTACAACATGGACGAGTTGGTGTCAAACCCCAACATCACCCCCGCCGATTACAAGACTCTTTTCCCACTGTTTGTGTTCGACGTCAGCAAGCAGAGTGAGCGACTGAAGACCGCAGTCACTGACATCCAAATAAAAACTCAGTTCAATGCCAACGTGCCAGCGGGTACCGAAGCATTTGCTGTTGTGATTAGTGACAAGATGATAAACTTCAAGACCGATGGGAAGAAGGTAAACGTTGTATATAGCTAGATTTCTACATTTCTTGAAAATGACTTTAAGAAAATAAAAATCTATAATAGAAAAACAATGTTGAAACTGTCTGAATTGAAAACAATTCTTCGTGAGAATAAAATCAAAGGTTATTCTCATTGCGGCAAGAAGCGGCTGATCGAGCTGTTGAAAGGAAAGGAATTAATACCAGAGGAACCACCCAAACCAGTGAAGACAAAGAAAGAGGTAGATCCAATGGCAGTTAGAAATAACCCCAAACCTGTTGTGTTGAGGGATGTTAATACTGGAGAGGAGATTACATTTCCATCCATAAGGCATCTCAATTCATAGACAAATCCTCGAGGATAATAACCTTTTGGGATGGAACGGTGTGGAAAAACAAGTATGAGATTAAAGTGGGTGACCCCAGAGGAATTAGCAAGATGTAAGCAAAAAAAAAATGTTGTATGTGGGTTAACATATACAACATTCATGAAAAAATAAAAAAAAATTGAAAATGGCATATCGAAAAAAAAATCTATTTATTATACAAACAACGAGTCTTTTCAGAAGAATTAGTAATGCGGCTATGAATGCTGCAACAAACATTGCTAGAGGAGCAAGACGACTGGCATCGGCTTTCATCCCACAGAGGAATCCTCCAGATCAAAATTTCTTAGATGCAGATGTACCTAGCATCAATGTGCCGACTCTTCAACCTGTCCTTATCCCTACAACCAGGGACAAGGTTAAACAAAAAGTAAATAAATCGATCAAAGCTGCTGTAGATTGGGTTGAATGGCTGCATGATGCAGACAGAGAAGTTGTTAAGAAGGCCCCATCGAAATTAAAAGCCTTGAAGGAAAAAGTAGATGCTTTATTCAGAAAGCAGCAGATGTTTGAAATCAGAGAGACAAGATCTGCTCTGAGGAAATTCACGACTCAATATACCATAGATGGCAGAGAGGGGTTTGATGCTCAATCGTTTCTCAACACAGCCCGACAAAATGTAGTTAACCTCTTGAGAGGAATCCGAGGCACTAAGGTAAAGCTAATTCTTAGATGTAACATGGAAAAAGTGAACTTTGTTAGTGCCTCGGAAACAATCGTAGAGCCTGCAGCCTTTCACTCTAATGTCGAGATTAACCTCGGGGGAACAGATGCAGATGGGCTGTATGATGCAATGGTAGATAGAGTCATGGAGGCCATGGCGACATTCCAGTTGCGAGGCAGCAACTGGACATTTAAATCTATCATTGCCATTGAAATTCATACAGTTGCTTATGAACCGTTGAGGGGGAGCTCTTACATCCCTACTCCGGAGGCCCTTGCACATCCTAAGAAGGGAGTGATCAATGTCAAGAATGATGACAACAGATGCTTCCTCTGGGCACTTGCTCGAGCATTACATCCCGTAGAACGTAATGCTTGCCGCATAACTAAGATGCTCGAAATGCAAGCAGAAAAACTCAACATGGACGGTATTGATTACCCAGTTAGTCTAAAGACAATAGATCATGTCGAGAAGCAAAACCCAGACATATCTATGAATGTCTTTGGCTATGAAACTAGTGTTTACCCCCTCCGAATAAGCAAACACGTTGATAGGGTAACAATAAACCTTTTATTGATCTCTGATGGGGAAAAGCAGCATTACTGCGTCATCAAAGACATGAGCCGTTTGTTGTCCAGCCAAACGGGAAACCACCAACACAAAAATTATTACTGTCTCAGATGTTTAAACCCCTTCTACTCACAGGAATCGTTGAATAAGCACATGGAATACTGTTATTCAAACGAGACCGTCAAGATAGAGATGCCAGAAGAGGGCTCGACCATTTCGTTTGGGCACATACACAAGTCCATGAGAGTGCCGTTCACAGTGTATGCTGACTTTGAATCTTTCATCAAACCAGTAGATACGTGTGAAGCGTGTCCGGGAAAGAGCTACACGAAGAAATACCAGAAATACACCCCATCGAGCTTTTGTTACTACATCAAATGCTTTGATGATGGTGTCTTCTCTAAAGATCCGGTTACCTACACCGTGAAAACTGACGACGAAGATGTCTCCCAAATATTCGTAGAAATGTTGGAGAAAGACATCAAAGAAATTGGCAAAATTCCGGCGAAACCAATGATTTTTGGGGAAAATGACCGCAAACAATTCCAAAAGGCGACAAAGTGCTGGATCTGCCAAGGTGAGTTCAGTAAGGATGACAAGAAGGTGAGAGATCACTGTCACTTTACTGGGAAATACCGAGGTGCAGCTCACAATAGTTGTAACTTGCAGTACAAGAAGCCGAAGTTCACTCCCGTGGTGTTCCACAATCTGAGCGGCTATGATAGTCATCTGTTCGTCAAAACCTCGGTAAAACTGAGGGGAACATCAACTGCATCCCGAACAACGAGGAAAAGTACATCAGCTTCACCAAGGAGGTTGTTGTCGGTTCTTATACTGGCAAAGACGGGAAAGAGAAGGGTGTTAAGCACCAACTCAGATTCATCGACAGCTTCAAGTTCATGGCCTCTAGCCTGGATAAGCTGTCCGGTAATCTGGATCAGGACTGCTTCACTAACACTTCGAAGTACTATAACGGAAAACATCTAGACTTACTAATGAGAAAGGGTGTCTACCCATATGAATATATGGATTCACTCAAAAGACTAGATGAAACAGCCCTTCCACGAAAAGTAGCGTTCTACTCCAGACTCAGTGGAGAAGAGATTAGTGACGATGACTATGAGCATGTACAAACTGTGTGGAAAGAGTTTGGCATGAAGTCACTCAGGGACTACCACAAACTGCCTTGAAAATCACCGAAGTAAAGGTGGAGCTGTTATCAGATCCAGACATGTTGTTCATGGTGGAGAAAGGTATCAGAGGCGGGATATCGATGATCAGCAACAGATAAAGCAAACAACCCAAACATGGGTGAAACATTCAACCCCCATGATCCTGCGAAGTATATTGCCTATTTGGATGCCAACAATCTCTACGGTTGGGCCATGAGCAAACCGCTCCCTACACACGGATTCGGGTGGATGACAGACAGTGAACTGGACTCTTGGAAGAACCACAGCTGTATACTGGAGGTTGACCTTGAATATCCAAAGGATCTGCATGATCTCCACAATGACTATCCGCTCGCTCCAGAAAGTCTCAAAGTCCATAATGTGGAAAAGCTTATTCCCAATCTCAATGACAAAACTAACTATGTCGTTCACTACGAGAACCTAACTATACGAGGGCTTGGGAATGAAGATTACAAAGATCCACAGGGGCATCAGGTTCGAGGAAAGTGCATGGTTGAAGCAATACATCGACCTGAACACCAATCTCCGAGCAGAGGCAAACACTGAGTTTGAAAAGGACTTTTTCAAGCTCATGAACAACTCTGTTTTCGGAAAGACTATGGAGAACATTAGGAGCCGAGTGGATATCCGACTAGTCAACGACGAGACAAAAGCGAAGAAGTTGGCAGCAAAACCCAATTTTAAACATTGCACCATCTTCGACGAGAACCTGGTTGCCGTACATATGAAAAAGACGAAACTGAAGTTCAACAAGCCCGCTTATCTCGGGATGTGCATCCTCGATCTGAGCAAGACGTTGATGTTCGACTTCCATTACAACTACATGAAGACAAAGTACGGAGAAAAGGCAAAACTTCTGTTTACCGATACCGATTCCTTGGCATACGAAATCCAGACGGAAGACATCTCTGGTGACGTGGCAGCCAAGTTTGACACCAGCAACTTTCCAAAGGATCACCCATCGGGCATCGAAGTCGGTCGTAACAAGAAAGTGGTAGGGATGTTCAAGGACGAGGCAGGAGGTAAGATCATCCGAGAATTCGTGGGGTTGAGAGCTAAGTTGTACAGTTACAAGTTGCTTGAGGGGTATGAGGAGAAGAAGTGTACGGGGGTGAAAAGGTCCGTTGTCAGAAAGAGTATTTCGTTTGAGGATTACAAGAAATGTTTGTTTACGGGTGAGGATCAGTTGAGAAAGATGAACGTCACCAGGAGCCACTGTCATGATGTGTACACCGAAGAAATTAACAAAATAGCTCTTTCGGCAAATGACGACAAGCGAATCATCCTCCAGGATGGGATGCGCACACTAGCCCACGGACACTTTAAACTTTAATAGATATATAAAAAAATAATATCTAGACTATAAAAAATAATTTTTATAGCAAAGAATCGTGGATTTAGAAGACAGTATGTCTATGGCGGTGCTGGAATGTTTGATAGCAGAAAAGTCGTTCTGCCAAATAAACCGCTAAGTAATATCGAGTTAACGAGGGCTGCAGATGAATTGAAAATACCAAACTTTAGAGGAGTATTTCTGCGCGACACACTTCAGAAGAGACCAAAGAGAAATGAATGTGGGATTCTGAATTTAGATTCTAGTGACGGAGGAGGAACGCACTGGACCGCCTGGTACAAACAAGGAACAAATAAATACTATTTCGATAGCTATGGCATACAACCTCCGAATGAGTTGATATCCTATTTGAAGCGAGGGATCTTGTACAATACAGAGCAGGTTCAGCCAGCCGATCAGGTATTTTGCGGTCATTTGTGTTTATACGTTCCAAAAGAGATGAGCGCGGGGAGAGAGCTTCAAGAGATCATAAACGGATTGTATTGATTTATAAAAGATATATTTATATTAAAAAAAAACATGCCTATTTACAAATTTGGATATATGACCATCCCACCACCAGAACCCGGTGTGTCTCTGTCGTACGTCAATAAGAATTTCTAAAGAAAAGCTGATGTGACTAAATTAGAGATGGATATCCAGGATCTAAGAGTCAAGTATTCTCAGCTATTAATGAATACACAAAAATTACAAAGAAAAATGAATAAAAAATATATAACTATCTGGGCTGAAGAAAAAGGTGGACTGGTGAAAGGGAAGTACGAATACTCGTTCGGTGTTGGTGCAACAGGTAAAAACGCTGGCTATACCGTGCTAGCACCATCTAAAGTTTTGAAAATAGGTATGTCGGTTACAACACCAGAATCCA